GATGTCTTCATGAGTCTATGATAAAGTAGAAAAATCAAGAAATTTTATTCAAGGTAAATAATGAGCAGCAGACCTAGAACTAGGTTTTTCTGATGTCTAGTCACTTGGTTTAGTAATAAAAGATTTTTTTAATAGTCTGAAATATGACACAGGAATTTAAAGTTAGGACTAAAATAGGAAATGAGAGTTGGAACTAGATTATCTTCAAGGTCCTTTTCCAGTGCAAATCATTCTGTGATTCTATGAAATCAGCAAAATAAAAAAGAGTTAACAATGGTGAGGGAAAACTAGAACAGTTGTCAGCACACCTCAGTTATTTAGACAAGAGTTTAAACCCAGTCTAGAATATTTCCAAATATATTCACTGTTACAGAAGGCAAATATTAGTAGGTGAGAAGAGCATGAAAGGAGAATTACATCCTGATAGGAGTGATTTTTTTGCTTCCACAAACTTATAAATTAAAATTGTATCTGGAAAACATTAGGTGCTATCTTGTAATATTTCCAGGAAGTTCTCAGATTAATGAATCAGCTTCTTGTGTAATGAATCAAATTAATTCTTCACTGGGAGTAGGCAGCAATGAACTATTTAGCAAGATATAAATAGCAACTTTATGAGTTTCATTTGACTCTTACTCATTGTTGCATGTTAAAAGGTGTACATTAATGATTCCCACAATCTGGTTTTGTTTACACACTCAAAAAACAATATCTAGAAAATTAAAGTATGTTTTGCTTTCTATTGAAAACTGTTAGGGAAGTGAAGGGAAAACAGCAATAGTGATTGCTGATCAGTTAGATTGCTGATCAGGTAAAGTTTCACGTATCTGTGTGTTATAGAGTCTGGGTTTTACAGCAGAGGAGCCAGGACAGAATAAATGGAATCTTTTGTCCACCCACCAAGGCTATTTGTAATACATCGATGTATGTATAATTCACATAAATATATACATTATATACATACAAACTGTCCTTACTTTGTGGAATGCGTAGGTGACATAAAATACCAATTCTATAGAAGCACCATTAAATCCATTCCATGTGATCAATGAATATCAGTAATCCCAGTTTTAGCAAAATACAGAAGGAAATAGTATTTCATGTTTTATTTCAGGTAACTTATCAGGAATCAAATGCTGGCATAATTTGCCTTTACCAATATGTTCTAACTTTGTAGTTACTCCTGCTTTGAGAAGGGGTGTTGGCCTAGATGTCAGGGAAGAAATCCAGAGGTCCCTTCCAACATAAATTATACACTGATTCTGGTTAAAATCTTCATCTGCACTACCATTACACAAAAACATAACTGCCCACAAATACGTAAATCATCTGTTCAATTTCTCTTATTTTTATTAGAATTAATGCACCTTTAAATATAATCTTGTTCTTTACAAGCATCTTCACATTCCATATATACTCAATAACAGGTATTTTGATTCAGCTGCCATTAGGCAATGACTCACTGTGTATTGTCTGATGATGACGTTTAAAATGAGAGAATACTGCTCGAGGATCTTTGGAATTGGAAATATGTTTGTTGAGCTCTTTGCCTTCCAATTTAGATGAGTCAATTGTGCCAAGTGATGGTGCAACTTAATGCATTAGATAGCAATGTGGAAAACGTAAAAGAGGTAATTCCCTTTTTATTGTATTTATTTTGATATTACATTCTGTCAATTATTTTTAATGTTTGGATTCTTTAATTTGTAGTCATAATAACAGAAAAGCTGGCATTCATTTCAAGTTCAGTTTGTTTGTTCAGTAGTCACTTTATATCTCATGTGTTTATCTACAACCAACTTTGTCTCAGTAGCCTCACTCACCTGCAGAACTATTGCCTTTAAGATCTCACATGGACAATGTATCTTGCTGTGCCTGTGTGTGGTAGCTACACCAGCAGGATGTTTAAATAGGAAGGTAATTTAAATAGCAAGTTATCTCACTTTGTAACTTGACTTTTATTCTCTACCTGGCTTCTTGTACCTAGATCCAACAAAAGACTTGTGTGTTCAATGGAATTCAGTTTTCAGCCTATGAAGTGGAATCCATGTGCCTGAGTCAGGTGCTTATGTTCCTTATATTATATTATACACAAGAGAAAAATGCAAAAGTAAATGTTTAGTCTGTTTGGTAGTCATCATTAATAATCAAGAGAATGCTGATTGTACAATCTGGCTGGCCAATGTAGTGCATCAAGAACTGTAGCAGGGGGGGTTAAGTAAGACCTCAGGAGGTGAGCACAGGCAGCATCAAGGAGTCACATCCTAGCAGTATCACTGATAATAGCTTACAGACTCCTGCCTGTGAGAAAAGAAATGACCTGGCATTACCTTTAGTGATGCTGCTACAATGATCAGTCAAACCCTTCAGCCTACAGATCCTACCAAAACCACCCTTTTCTGTAGGAGAGCTTTGAGGAGTTCATAGGAGGAAAGGGCAAACACTAATCCTGTGGTTCTCCTTGACTTCCTGTAGGGATATCCATATGTGCAAAGCTTTCTGAGAGCTTGCAAATCTTGTCATGAGGAAAAATCTTTGTAAAAATCTTGGGGTTTCTTTTTATCTGTTTGGTCAGGGTTTTCTGTTTGTTTGTTTCTCCAGTGGTGCTGGCATGTCACAGCAGCTCCACTGGCCAGTGCATCCTCCTGAGACTGGTTTCAGCACACCTGTAACAGCATTAAGGGGGTTCCTTGCAGAAACACACAGAGAAGCCTTGAGTAAATGTGCAGTGCTTGCGGGCTGGATGTCTCTGTAATTGTGGGATCAGTTCTGTGCACGTCTCCTGCCATTCCAGGTCTGCAAGACAATAATTTCCACCCCATCCACACTAGTTAAAACTGTTGTGAGTGCACAGACAATACTTCTGGAGGAACCTCTTCCAACATCATGCCCAACACATGCAAGGTGAGTGTAGCTGCCCATATTCAGGATTGTAAGTGAACTGGTCCCTTCAAAGCATAAAGCCCTTGTAATATTACATGTGCTCTGTGCCTTCTTTCCCTGTCCTTGGAGCAGGCCATACAAAATACTAAGTTTTCTCCAAGTTTACAGCAGTTTACCTCCTTTTTAGATCAACGTGTCACAGAAAACTTCAGAGAGAAGGCAAGGAAAGCTTCCTTGTGTATGTCCCAAATTGCAAAGGTGCCACAGCTTAACTTTTTGCTTATAGAGCACTAGCAAAAGAGATATTTTTTTTTTATTAGGCCTCATGTTTGTAATATTATGTTTTACCAAAAAGAGGTCATCATTATGATCTTATTTAAACTGGGAAAAAATTAAAATGAGCCTTTCAGATTATTCTAATCCTTCAGATGACTGAAAAAAATACTACAGTTCTGCAAATCATACTGTTGGCTCAGCAACACGCGAACTTATTAAAATGACAGTCTTCGGGTAAACCCCACCGAAAGTCTATAATAATTGCAGGTAGTTCCCGAATTCCTGAAGACGCCGTCAGCAGCCGTGGCCACTGCATGACATCTGGTGGCCACAAGGCAGCATGGCCAGAACGTGGCACTACTGAAACCGCCGCCCTAGCACCCGCTAAAACCACACCGTATCAGCTCTCATCCCAACGTGCCTAAACACCGCTCTGAGATGTTTGCTGCAGGTGTACATCTCGCCACGGAACAACCGAGCTTTGACAACTGCTAGCATGTAGCACAATAGGATACATATCTTCCTTGGGAATTATGATGTTCCCTGCCCGAGTGTTGATCTTCCCCTGCACTCCTACAGTTGTAGGACATCGAGATGGGGATTTGCAGAGCGACAGAATAGCAGGACGCGTTCTTTGAAGTGCAGAGGTCGACTGCACTGTGAACTTGCACCTACTGAGCTGATGAAAAAACAATCCAGAATGATGCTTTGGTATGCAAGGGGCGTCACTGGTGGCAACAGGTTCTCCTCATCCTCCTGTGATCATGGTATAAAATCACAAAATTATAGACTAATATAATATGAAGGGTTGGAAGGGATCGTAACTATTATCTAATCCAAACCTGCCCTTGTATGGCAGATTTGGATTAGATAATAATCCAAATATGGATTATTTTCCAATAATAATCCTCCCACTGGACCAGGTTGACCAAAGTCTTATTCAACTTGGCATTGAACACTGCCAGGCTGGGGCACCCACAGCCTCCCTGAGCAACCTATTCTAGTGCCTCACTACCCCCACAGTAAGCAATTTCTTCCTAATACCCTAACTAAATTTCCCATCTTTCAGTTTGTACCTATTTCTCCTTGTCCTATCACTACAGTTCCTGAAGCAGAGTGCCTTTCTGGCTTCCCAGTAGGCCCTTCAGATACTGGAAGGTTTCCATGAAGTCTCCACACAACTTTCTCTTCTCCAGGCTGAACAGCCCCAACTTTTTCAGCTTGTCTTCGTAGGAGAAGGGGCTCTAGTCCTCTTACCAACTTTGTGGCCTCCTCTAGACTTGCTCCATCTAAGATCTACTAGAGAAAAAGTCACAGAATATTCTGAGTTTTAAGGGACCCATCGAGTTCAACTCTTGGCCTTGCACAGACACCCCATAAAGCCACACGATGTGCCTGAAAGCACATCTAAACGCTCCTTGAACTCTGCGAGGCTTGGTGCTATGATTACTTCCTTGGGAAAGTAGGAAAAAGAACAATCGGGTAAGAGAAAAACAGAGAGATTAAGTGCTCAAAACCCTCAAACGCACGGTCCATCGGCTAAGCGACCCCGCCGATGCCTCAGGAGAGGGCCCATGGCCGGGTCCAATTCAGCTACACCCCTGTGACTCTCCGTCTCCAGCGCTGCAGCACCGACAGCGCTCTCGGAGCGGCTCAGGACCGACCCCGGGACCACCTGCAAGACCGACCGCCGGACCCAGCCCTTCCCACCGGGCCGGCCGGGACCCGCCCCGCCCCGCCGCTTCCGGCTTCCGGCGCCGGCTGGGGCGGGCGCGCGGGCCGGGCGGAAGCCCTGCGGCGGGCGGCGCGTGCGCGGGGGCGTGGCCGCGGCGGGGGCGCGGCCGCCGCTCAGTTCCTGCCCCGCGCGCGGGCGGGCGGGTGTCGCCGGTCGCGACAGAGGTAACGGCCCGGCCCGGCTCGCGCGGCCCCGCGCCCCCTCGGCGGGGCTCCCCGGCCGGGCCCGCCCCAGGCCCGGCCGCTGCCCGGGACAGCGCGCCCGGCGTTGCCGCCGCGGCGCTCTCCGGTCTGGCCCCATGGGGCGGGAGCACCGCTGATTCACCTCGGGTTGCTGCTGGCAGTGAGGGAGGAGGGAGGCGGATAGACAGGCAGACAGACGGCCGGAGTGAGAGACAGATCCCGCGGGGCCTGTCCGGGCCCCGGTCGCCCCCCTGTCTCAGAGCGGCGCTGGGCGATGCTGAGGCCCGTCCTGCGGCCTCGGTGACCCCCGGCGGTCCCCGCCCCCGCCGGAGAGCCCGGCTCCTTTCGGCGTTCCCTCCCGCTTGTCTGCGGACGCGGGCTCTGCCCCTGGCACCGGGGCCTCTCCTGGTGCCGGGAGCTACCGGGCGGTAACGGGAAGGCACCTTTTGGCTCTGTGACTGGGGTGTGATAGAGCCTTAGGAAATGCTCATTTACGTTTCACTTCCTATCCACCATGTGTTTGTAGTTGGGAACTTAATTCGTCCCGTTCTTTGTACTAAGTGATGAATTTAATGTCCCAGTGACAGCGTTGGTCATCCTGCAGGAACGTAGTTGTGGGAGAACCTTTAACAAGATGTATTTTATTTGCAGTCGTGCTGACTTGTTTTATTTTCGGGGGTGGGGAAACTGGGTTACATTTGTAGCTGAAGAAACAAATTGATCTACATGTACTTCACTGTCCATTGGAAGAATGACAGATGACAAAGATGTACTTCGAGATGTGTGGTTTGGGCGAATACCGACCTGTTTCACTCTGTATCAGGATGAGATAACTGAAAGGGAAGCTGAACCCTACTATGTGAGTATGACAAAGGTAGTCACAAATAGTCCAAGGCCGTGGTTGTGTTTGTTTCCTTCATTCTCATCACGTGTACTACTGCATGTTGTGAAAAAATCCGACTTCTTTTCTTATTCTTGGTAGCTTCTGAAAGTAAACATATAAACATGCTGTGTGACTTCATCTTTCTTCCCAGCAAATGGAAAACTTCAGCCTTTTTTCACTAGGGAGAGAAACTTACCACAAATAATTAAGATCTTTGAAAAAATACATAGAAAGTCAGCGAGCGACTAGGTAAAGGGGAGGAGGCCGGATGTGAGTTTGTATGTTCTTGGATAATGGAGGAGGAGAACTTCTATTAATGCAGAAATAATTTAGTCAGACTTATGAACTCTTAAACATTAAGGTTGGTCACTGTGTAATACAGCTCTTAATGAGCCCTGGCTCTGTGGATGACTTCTGCTCATTTTCTTTTCTTTTCTTTTCTTTAAAGTTCAGCAGCCATAAGAGATCTAGCTCAGAAATAATAAAAGGACTTTAGTGGTCAGTCAGAACACTGCCTGAATGGGATTGCTAGCTGATGATAAAAAAAGCGTGATGGATGTATTTGAGTTATAACAAGGAACAGCTTTCTATAATGATCTATTTATTTATAGTGTTCTCATCAGTTTTCATTCTTTCAGCACCTAATAGACATCTAATTGAGAAAGAATGTTAGCTGATTCAGTGAAATGCATATTTGAAATGTAACAAGTATATGAGAGGGAAATCTTGAACTTTTTTTTCATGAGATTCCGAAATTCTATGGTCTTATCATATCCCATTCCACACTTTTTTTTCTGTGTTCAATAGCATCTTTGTGTCATCAGTTTCTCATTTGCATGGGTTGTTTTGAAACCTAATAAACTATTAGTGCTTTTTCTTCAGCAATAATAGTGCTCCTCTTTGTCTCTTTTAGTTTCATTACTGGTAAAAGATAAGTGCTTCATATTTGTTAACTTATTGCCAAATACATCTAAGCTACCTAAAAGTCTCAGATTTTAAATTATACATATGAGTAAAATGCATTTGCTTACTTTGTATAAGAGCTACTTGAAAGGTATGAGTTTAAATTTAGAGGCATGCAGCCTTGATCTGTTTAACATTGGCATGGAAATCATGAAACCATGTTAACCTCATGGTGTGGCCAGCTTTCTAAGTCATTTAAATTATTTTAAGGTTGTAGAATTTCTTTTATTTACTCCATGTAAAGTGTACACAAAAATTCTCGATGCTTAATTCTTTCTTTCTGCAAAATGTGGTTACTCGCAGATGACAGTTCTAAAATTTTAGCTTCTTCATTTTTCAGTTCATGTTGGAGCTGGTAATGCAGCTTTGTGTCTTTGGAGGGACCAGGGATTTATAATAGTATAAGGCAGAATAGTAGTCAAGATTTTAAGTCATGGTATAGTTCTGATAGTTTCAGAGTGTGATTGCATTAATGTTTTTGTTCAGATCTAGACTGCATTTGCAATATGTTTTCATCCTTTCCACTTCCTGCGCCCAGGTTGGCATCACAGAGCAGTCAGTCCATGGGCTGAATCATTTTTCACGTGAAGCTGAAGCAGCAGATGGGCTTCAGCTGCTAGTGGACACTTGGTGTATGGAAGCAAACTTGAGCTAAATCAAAGTAAAATATCATCAAAATACCTAAAATTATGGGTAAAGTAAAAACGTATATGTAGTTAACATTTCCAGCCCTTGACATCAACTCTTCAGCTTTACATGTTTCCTCTTACTTGTTAGTATAGATACAACCTCTGTATTCCAGACTGCCTTTTATAAATGGAAAGACTGCATGGGAAGGAAATACTGGCATCGGTAAGCTGTGAGAGGAGAAAGGATTCTGCTCTGAGAAACTTGCTTTATGAAGATGAAGGATGACAGATATGGAGGGTGAGGGGTTAGAAAAACAACCCAGAGTCTGTGGGATGGATATCAGTTTTTGTGAGAGTGGTGTCAGGAGAGCCCTGTCTGTCAGATGGGTTAGTGCAGCACAGGAGTTGAAGCATGTGTGTATCACCTTCTGGCACTGTGCAGGGATAGGACAAGTAATCTAAAATTAACTTGTCTATCTTTTGAAAAGAGTGGTGACATAAATACTGGGCAGCTCTGGTAGAACACTGTCCCACGTCTTAATATAGTCATATAGGGTAGGTTTCTGCAGTTATGCTAGAAATGGATACATCCATTTTCTTCGGAGTGTTACATGCAGATGCTTATATTTTGAGTGGCAGCATATTTAGGAACAGTTTGCTTGAACTACTTTTGTTGCTGATCTGTCTGGTTTTTCTCTCATCCTAAAATGGATATGCATTTTATTTTAAAATTATATACTATTTGGCTCTTGGTGCAAGCAACAGTTAGAAAGAAAAGGGTAAAAGAAGTATACATGAAGCAGAGACTCATTGGCTGAGACTTGTCAGATGTATAAAGAACAAAATTACAGCAGGATACAGTCTTAGGATGATGCTCTGCCCAAGGAGCTCGTCTGTAACAGGACCACTCTTTAGATTGCTGGGTGTCAAAAGTATTCTTTTGTTAAGATATCTGCAGAAGAGAGCAATGTGAAGCTATTCCATATTAAAATGTTTTGTTTCATCTCCCTTGACACTTTAGTGATCAGACCAGTCCAGTTCTTGTTAAATCTGTAATTTTTCTGTTCTAGTGCTTTGCATGTAAAAATACTGTATGCTCTGTGGATATACCTGGAGAGGTACTCTTTATACAAAGGTTATATTGCAAGCATTTACTTAGGCATTAGGGGTTCTTTGTATTTCATTTTACCTTCTGGTCAGTAGGAAATCATTCCTGGTTATTATGATTAAATACTGTGGCAATATGTAGTATTCTAAAGGAAGGTGTTGTAGTTTGTGTAATTTTGGGGATGACATTTAGGGACTGTTGTGAGGATTTATTCTGCTTGGTGATGTATTTGGAGATTTACTTTTCTTAATGAAGAGAACTCATGATCTTGTTATCTTTCAGTGGGTGGGGAAGGGATATTAAAAGGGGTAACAAAGTGAAAATGTGTTTAAACTGCTTTTAAAGATCTCAACAGATTTAGTATACTTGTAAATCTCTAAAACTAGAAAAGTGGTAGAATTTTGCTTCTCCTATGGAAGGGGATGATTATATCAAGGTAAAAGAGCTGGAGAGACCAAAGAGTTCAGTATGTTTACAAATGCTCAGCATCTCTGAAAAACAGGTAATTCCTGTTAACTGTTGTGTTTTGTACAGTTGTACAGTTTTTTATTAAAGGCTTTTGGGAGTGCTGGCCATGTTCTGTTAAATTCAGTTGAATATGGTTTGGTTATTGCCTGTGTTCTCGAATTCTGTTGAAGTAGGAACTGGGTTGTTCTTTCACAATGTAAACTGAAGTAGAATATTTTACAGAGGAAGTTATGCAGTTTAAAGGGTTATGTGAAACACTGTTGCAATAAATGTTTTAATATATTTATCAATTCCAGCATGGCTGTGCTACATGCAACATGCTGAAAATTGGCTTTTGTAAAAGAGTCCTAGTAAGTCTCATCAGAGTACACCAGCATTAATTTAACTGCACATATCATGCAGAAATAGCATGAAATTATTACCAAAAATATGTGGGTTTGATTGGTATAGCCTGAACTGTATTGTCTCAAGAACAATCAGTGAATATATGTAGAATTAGGTAAGTAAAGGATAAGTTTATGTTGTCATTCAAGTCATTAAATTACCAAACAATTCTTACTTTAATGTTTACATAACTTCATTGAATTTATTGAGTTTGTTTACCTTCTGAAAATGAAGGCTGTGTTTTGATTACATTGCTCCTATGAAACAAGGCAGAAACAATGTGATGATGGTAATAAAAGCAGCAGTTGGAAAAAGAAAGCCATATGGTACATGAAAAATGGAGTGTTAACTTACATGATGGCTGTGGTAGTGGTGAGACTTGGCCTTATGTAATTTTATAAAATTGTAAAATTTAGCTGTGTCAGAGATGTAACCTAATGTGGCATTATCAAAAAGATGAATCTGTTCTTCCAGCAACCTGATGTACTCACCATACTTCTTTATGAATTGGTTATTTACAAATTGTAATATCATGGACAAAATACTATTTGATTTATATATCAAATTGTGGTCTAATTATTGGAGAAATTCTGGAAGAATATTGCAGCAGAGATCAAGTTTTCTGTCAGGCAAAATATATCCTTACACGGTTTGGGATGTCAGTACCACAGACATTCACTTAGGGCCTGGCATTATTTATATACTGTAAGAAAATACTTCAAGAAACAACACTAGTTATGAGGAACACTGGAAAACAAATGTTTCTCTAAACATGCAAAATATAATCTATATATCCCTTAGGCCCATCTATTTTGTTAATAATTATGAAGCAGAACTTTACAGGATGGATACTATTAATTTAAAATGTCTGCTCTAAAGTGAATTGATATTTTACAGAGATGTTAATCTTTACTTGTTGACATACTGAAAAGCATTGTTTGTTAATGCTTACGGATTGATTTATCTCTGATTAATGTGCCACACAGTAATCAATCAATTCACTGATTTTACAGAGTGCTTGGGCCTGAGACTTTTAAAAAAAGACAGTAGAGAAGATGTTGCAAATAAAAATAGCACAAAAGTAGTTCTGAATTGAATAGTTACACTTAAGAATAAAAGATCACATCTGAAAAATCTGTAAGAATGTGTCTTGTTTCAACTAATAAAGTATTTGCAGTTTTCTTTCTAATTTTAGTTGCTGGGTGAAGGTTAAATAGTGGAAGAATAGTAGTCTTGACTAGTAGGTTGAACTGGCAAACCCAGTGCAAAGAAAATCGAAAATGACAGCTATTGGAAGTATAAAACACTTGGAAACCAAACCCTTAAGCATCTAGTTTTCATTTGGTTTTTTTCCTTGTGTAGGAATTTATATTTTGAGAAAATAGCTGATACACCATTGCTCATTCTTTTCAATTAGAAGTTAGAATCTCCTCTTGTGTTCATACTGAGAAGGTTTAAAACGTCATTATTTAAATACAGAAAAGCAGAAATTGAAGTCCACTGTTCTCCCTCCTCACCCCACTGAAAGAATCAAGTACTTAATTTTTTACTTTTTTGGTGTTAATATATTGGATACTGCTATTCTGCATCTTCTGAGTAGGTCAATTTATAGCCTTTCACTGACCATTAAGAAGTAAACTGTCTAAAAGACCTCTTACCTTAAAAAGGAGAAGAAGAGTGCTAACCAAATTTTATTTATGATAATGCATACTTGTTACAGATTTTTACTAGTTTAGTATATTTTATTTGCACTTAAAGATTCTGTAATTTTTTTTTTCAGTTGCTTTTGCCAAGGATAAGCTACTTGACACTGGTAACAGACAAAGTGAAGAAACACTTTCAGAAAGTTATGAGACAAGAGGAAGTTAGTGAAATATGGTTTGAATATGAAGGTACACCACTGAAATGGTGAGTTTATTGAACTTTGTACTTTATGCAGTTCATGAACCTGGGAACATAGAGAGTTGCCAGGTTCAGCACAGTGTCAGTAGTTTTTCTAAAGTAATCATTCTAATCATTCCCTTGAGTTTCAAAGATGGCAAAAGAGGAGGAGGGTAAGAAATGCATGTTTTTGGGGAAAAACAAGAAGGTTTAATGTTGAACATAATTTTGTATTATTCTGCTTGAATTTTTACTGTATGCATAAGACAGAGGTTGCTGCACTTACTGGTTTTGTTCTCGTTGTTACCATAATTCAGAATGCTTGTGGTTTTGGTTTTACCGTTGCTTGGAGTAGAATTGCCAAATAAATCTTCCTTTAACATGTTCTACCTTCCTAAAAGCTGTCTAGTAGCACAGATAGGAAGTAATGGAGTCTGAATGCAAATAGCATATATGCATGATGGTAATAAAACATGAGTAGCCTTCACTGTTCACTTGTGTGATATGTGCTTGTAAAAATCTAATATTGATCTGCAAGTGTTTGTTGAATTCAATTAGTTCAAGTTTACTGGACTAATTGTTGTTGATACTGGTTTTATTTTGTCCCATAGTCTGTTAAAACTATCTTCTTTTGGGTTTTTCGTTTGTTGTTTTAGTTTTTTTGTGAGAGGTTAGGGAATTGGACTGATATAGTTGATTTAATTAATTTTCATAAATACTTTTCATCAGGTTTTTTACTTCTTCTGCTATTACAGAGTTTTAAAGAAAATATTTTGAGAGCTGAAGTCTTTGCTAGTTCTGTATAGATAGCATCAGCCCTCCAGAAGGTATTTAGTATTTTGAATGTTTAAGGCATTTTTATCTCTTTTTATTTCTTATATCATCTTAGGAAAGAAAACTAGTGAATTTTTTTAATCTTACTGAAACTGGATTGTCTTGTGATTAGCAAGCATCGCATAATGGAGTCCCTGTAGATTTGGTGATGCAGTAGATGTCTTCTTGTAATTTGTTTCTTTGAGACTAGCCTAGAGTAAACCTCGAAAATATGTAAATAGAAATCCATAAAAATGACCTCTTTAAACCTTTATTACAACTGACTGGCAAAACCAGCTTTAGACATCCAAATAAGTGGGATTTAACAAGAAGTGGCATCTTACGTGCCACAGTAATGTTGAGTCATGGATACTACCTAAATAAGCAGCAAGGTACTGCATTTATCCCAGTGTGTTCATAATCCCAGATAAATACTGGGAGAAAACTAGTTTTCACTAGAGTTGTAACAAGAAAGGAAAGAGAGGCTTTGTACTTCAACCAAAAATAGATGCATATTTTCTGTAAGTTTTCAAATACCATGATGTTTAAACTAGAATTAAAACAAAAACCTGTACAATATAGGTATAGAATAAAAATGTAGCTTGTAATTCTAACCTTAAGAGTTATTAAATTCATTGAGTGTAGAAATGAAAAAAATAGTGTAATGATGATCTGTTAAGTAAGGCTCTCATCTTTCAGAAAAATGAAGCCTATTCTGCCAGGAACAGCTCCACTGATTTCGGTGGAATTGCTTTTCTAAGGAAAGTACTATTTGTAAACCAGTATTTTAGGAGAGCAGTAATCCCATAAAGAGCCAAAGCTTCTTCAGGGGAAGACACAGGAGCTGAGAATTAGATTGAGCTAGTAGTTGATAGAGAGAGAATAGCGGGCATTAATGTTTAATCTTTTTAGCTATGACTTGTGCATTCAGACTCAAATAGAACTTGATAATAATATTGTTTATTCTAATTATTTACTTCACACAGTGAGGTCTTATTGCTTACAGTGCGTGCAGTTTCATACCTAGTTGGGATGAAGTCTGTATCTGTTCAGATGCAGCTTTTCCATTTTCCAGCGAGATTTTGGAGGAAGTCTGAAACGTAGTTTCAACTTCAGGAGCTGCAGTGCATGGGTCAAGTTCTTAAAGGAGAGCAAAGCTCTCCAGGCCTCTAATTAAATTGGCCTGAGATCTTTGTCTTGCTGAGAGTGTTGGGACAGGGGAAGATGGATTCTTTGCCTGCAGGAGGTGTGTGCTGGGGAAGGGTCTGTGTCACCAAGGTAAGGAGTTTCAGGAAGAGATGATCAGACTGTGCAGCATTAGAGACTATGGAAGGAAACGGATCAAACCTCGGACCATCCTGCAGCTACAGGAGACTAAACCTACAACCACACTGAAGGAGATGCAGGCAAAGACTGTGATTACTGGATTAGAAAACAGTCTCTTAAGATTTGGAAGAGCTGGAAGTTTGACTTCTTGCAACAGGAGGAATGTTCCTTCTACACCTGCATTTCTGTGACTACAGCATAGGTTCAGTGCTCTGGTTGCAGGTTAAGGACTGAAAGTGTTGTCCGGTGATGCATCTAATATGGCTGAGCCTGAACTGTGAAATTAAGTCAAAAGTCTGTATTCTGCTTATTGTACTTTCTCCAGGACTTCTAACTCTGCCATTTCATGGTCACTGTATCTAAAGCTGCCACTGATTATCACAACTCTTTTGTCACAACAGATAAGTAACAGATTCAGCTTTGGGTTATCTCAGGTTCATTCAGTGTCTGTATCAAGAAATCTTAACTGCTTGTGTCACACTGTGTTGCTTTTCTAGAAGATGTGAGAGAAATAGGGTCTGTCATGTAGACACTTACTGATTTGTTTAAAGAAGGCTTTATCTATTTTCTCACCTGGATTGCATGATCTGTTGCCCTTACTAGTCCCTCCTCTGTTCCTGAACCACAAGAACTCAACCAACCTGTTGTCTGTCCTATTAAGTTTCATACATCTAAGCTGCTCCCTGACATGGAAGACAACCCTCTGTCCTCATCTGCTCTGCCTGCCTTCACTAAGCAGATTATGTCTGTCCTTCCACAGCAGTATTCCAGTTGTGCAAGCAGTCTCACTGTACCTCAGGTAGCCCAAGACTCTCCCAGTAATGTCATACCATGTGCAGCTCTAGCTTTTCCTGCTTGTTTCCCAAGCTATGTGCACTTATCTAGATACTTAGGGTGGACTCTCTTCTACCTTCTTTTATGACTTTCACCACTTGCTATCCACCCATGTCCATTAATTTCTATTTATCTGTGGGTTGTTATTTACACTTCTGTTGTTTATGGTCTAAAGCTCTCACCAGGCTGGGTAACCTTAAGGCAAAGATACTTTTGTCTGACTTAGGTGGATTCCATATCTCCCTAGCAGTCCATTATCCCCAAAGAGTATTCTATGTCTGTAAGAGCCAAGTAAGTCCTTGTTGTTGCACCAGCTGCATAACCAGCTCCTGACCTGCAGATGCCTCTCTTGACCTATCTCCTTCAATGGCAAAATTGTGGACATGCGTCCTTGGCCCTAGAACTTGTAGAGTCACTTTTGATACTCTCAGGGGTTCTGTTGCTGTGCTTAAAATTTGTGCCCGTGTGGGTAAACAGCAAGGACTAATAAGCCAAGCAGAGGACAACTTTGCCAGTCTGCAACTTTTTAGCAAGCAGCAGACCTCTGCAGTTTAACAAGTAAAGTTGGCAGTTGGGGCTCTCCCCTCTAGGATAGAGTCTCCTATGCTATGAATGCTTCCTGTGACTGTGGATGTGTTGTTCAGACAGCTCTGATGCTTCCTCAGAACTTCCAGCCTCTTGTCTCACACTGAAGCACTGCCAGTGGTTGGAGAAGGCCTGCCCTCTCTTGGCCAGAGGTTAAGGAAACCTTTCTGTCTGTCCATCCAGGAGCTGCTCTGGCAGTCACACGCTTGGACCACCTGAGCTGGGACCAAAGCCCCTTTGCAGCAGGCAGCTCCAGGGAGCTGAAGGGTGCCTGGCGTGACTCCCTGCACACCCCACACCCACACAGTCAGACAAGCTTTCCTTACCCTCTTGACCCTCAGTTTCCCATAGCAGAGCCTCAGGCATCTGGATCCTTAAAAGATCTTAGTTGTGGTGTAACAGCAGAATGACAGCTTGAACTGGTTCCCCTGAGCAGGGACCCCAAACCAAGGAACCCCTGGACTTTTATAGCCTCACTGTCTGTGTGTGATAGTGTGGGGTTTTTCCTCTGTGTCACTGGCTCCTGCCGTGTCCCTGACTGTCCGGTCACCTGGCAGGGTCACAAGTCCCCATGCCCTTTCCTGTGCAAAGGGTCAGCACCAGTTTTGGCCTCTTGCTTGGGGCTCCCATCACCCGGAGCTCAACCTGCAGCTCCCTCTGCAGCTGCACACTGAGCTATTGGCATTGAATGGATTCCTCAACACCAGAGTGTAGGAGCGTCAGTGGGTAGGACGGTCAGGACTGACGGAGAGGAGAGATTTCTAAAGCCAGGTCTTGGAACCTGTGGTTTATTGCAAAGGGTGTGGGTGAGAAGGCCCTGCTTGGAGCTGCCAGTCACAGCTCGGAGCAGGCCTGTAAGAGTAGGAGAGCAAGAGTAAGAAGAGTAAAGAGAGTAAGGGGTAAGAGAGGTGAGAGGTAGGAGATGTTCCTTTTACAATACAATAGATCTTCTTCTGTGTTGAATATTCTAATTTTCACTAACTAATCTAATAGAAGATACAAATGCTATAGTATTTACATACAGCCTATAAGAATTATTACATTACCATACTGTGTTACACTTTAAACCCTAAAAACTACTCTTTAGACCCCTTCTGCCAAGCTAGTAGGGTCTTCTCTGACCCTTGGACCTGTCTGCAAGCAGAGGGAATTGTTCAGTTAAGAGGGAATTACTTTCAGCTGGCCATACTATTGTTTTCTAGTTGTTCAGTAACTAAGACTTGGTATCTCAAAGATGGCTTTCATTTCAATCTCACAGTTTTCATATTCTTAAAATCTTTTGCCAGGCAATCGTATTTATAAGGTTTTTCCTGTTTCATCTTCCCCAACACCAGAGTTCACACAACTCTGGTCCCCTCCATCCTGTGAGTCCCCACTGACCACTCCAATGACTGCTGACTCTTTCTCTCCAGATTCTCACCTTTGTGAGATCTTGTTGAAGATGCCATTAATCTATACATCTTCCCTGATGCTGTACAGCCTCTTGACTTCCTGCAGCTCCTTAGCTTGCTGACATAGCTCCTCACTAATGTGCACCTCTTCTAGGCAAAGACATTTCCTCTGCTTGTTCCAACCCTCAGGAGAGGTCCCAAGCTCTCCTGGCAGCCTGAAACCCTAGAGAGCCTTTCTCAGGAGCCCTCCCTGAGTGATGCCACTCTGTGCTGGAGTAGTTTCTTCAGCAGATGCTAGGGGATGACACCTGCAGCTTGTTTCCATTCTGTCTGAGCACTTGCACGTGGCTTCCAGTGGAGTTTTTATCCCTTTTGTGTGGGTTGTGTTCTAGCCCAGCTATTTGTATAGGTGGCTCTCTAGCACCAACTGGATGGATGCTTTACCCTTCCTGTTCATAAATTAGCAGAAGACAGAAGGTCAGAGCGCCATTTGATCAGGCATCTATTAACTCTACAAAGCACAGGGATTTTACTGATCAAAGAAATTTGATTACATGAACTTTACTTTGTAATCTTAACTGATTTGAAAATACAAATGTAGGCCAAGACTTGATGCAGGAGTTTTTGCAGTGGTTTTCTTCTTCTTAGTTATCTTTTTTGTTGTATAAATTGAAAGTAACTGGAAGTCATTGTTCACATTGAAAATTTGTGTTCATCTAATTATCAAATCTGATTTTTATTACTTAACTCACCTGGGAAACCACTCTTTCATGGAATTCTTGCTGAATCCCTGTTAAGTGTTTAGTACATGATTGGCAGTTAGTAGTAAAAATATTCATGGTAAAAACTTGAGCATTAGCAATGGATCAGGATAAATATGGATGCGCATCCTCTTTATTCTCAGGTAAGCTCAGGAATTGTAGTAGTATTTTGGGTTTTATTTTGCTATTGAGGTGAATTTGTCTTCGCTTTGGAGTGGCTCACCCGTAGAGGGTGCTAAAGCACTGTTGTGTGAGTGTTTCACCGGTCTGGAAAATGGCTTGGCACAGGTGCTGTTAAAGCAACGCTCTCGGTTTGTTCTCTTGGGACTTTCAAAACTTATGTACGTGCTTGAGTCTGTGACCTGTGATCGGTCACATTTAATTCAGTGAAACTACTGACTTTACAGTTCAGTGTGTGTTTCTCTCTTTGTAGGAAGAAAAGTTAGTCAGACTCTTTGGGTTATGATTTTTGAAAGATAAGAGAATGGGTCTTGGTATGCTGAATGTAAAAAAAAAAAAAAAAAAACCAAAAAAAAACCCCCACCACTTTATCAAAAATCTTGCCAATATTTGTGTGTGAGAAAACTGTACAAAGAGGGTTTTTTTACAGTGTCTGTGGAAGTTTTGTGTGTGTGATATATGTTCCATACACTGCTGGGGGCTGTGCATTCTAATGAGTTTTAAAGAGAGAAAGCTGAGACCGAAGTGAATATTTGTCAGAAGCAAACTTTTTTTGTGTAACTCCTTTAATCTAGACTACCATTGAAATACAAAACTCCAATTAATTAATTTTTTCCTCCCCTTTCATTCTTCTTGATTTGATAGTAAAGATACAGAGTTGATCTAACATCTTTCAGCCTTTGTACAGATACGTAACTTTTTCACTCTTCTACTTATTCTCTGCCTTGATAGATCAAGCATGTGGGGGAAGGAAAGGATGTTGGGGTCAGTGTGGTATGAACCCAGGACACTGAAGCATCTGAAAGCATGTGTGCTTTTCTGTCAGACTAGCTATTCCTGGTCTGATGCTTTTTAAATAAAATTACTGTTTTGGAAAGTTCAGCAAAGCAGCTGTAGACCACTTAAAGCTGTTGCAAAAGTAGCAGTGTTTTGTGGGCGCAGCTTGGAGACCACAGGTTTAGATATTGAACATGTACATTCCAGACTTGATTCTGCCTCTCAGAGTCTAAACTTGCCTGTATAACTTTTCTAAGTAAGCAATAAAGAATGCTAATTGTGGGAGTCAAACAGCTATTTTGTGTGTGTGTAAATGCAGGTATGTTAACTGTGGTATGTAGAATTAAATACATGGCTTCAATATTAAATTAATATCTTGTAATTTTTAGGCATTATCCAATTGGTTTACTCTTTGATCTCCATGCATCAAATACAGCCCTTCCTTGGAGCATCACAGTGCATTTCAAGGTAAATTGACATAGAACCTTTTTTTAAGAACGAGTGAGCACCAGATTGCATGACATTTGGAAGCTAGGAAAAGGTTTCATAGCTATTTCATAAAACATGTGAATGGTGTGATTTGAAAGGGAGAATATTCATTGTTAGGATGCATTTAAAGGCTTCTGTAAATCTGCAACTATTTTCCATGAGATGGTGTGCGCTTTTACTGGACTTTCCATAGAAAATTCATCTATTATAATCTCAAAATCCAAAATTGTTTTTCAAGTTATGAGGCTTATGATAGCAGGACTTCCTATAATATTTTAAATTTTAATTTTCTTGAGTTGACTGAAGATTGAGAAGTGCCTGAAGTTGAGAAGATGGAAATGTGCTCGTCCTTTTAGGCACATTTGAACATGGATATGAGATGCAACATAAATCTTTGGAGTCAGGGAATGCTGTTGTTCTTAATGTTGATCCCTTTTAGAGAACTGAGTGAAATGAATTTCGTCTTGTGACAGCTTAGTCACAGGAGAGACATTATTTTGATTATGCATTGTAAACCCATTAAGTATGACTTAATAGCACTACTGATCTTTGCTCAGAATGGAACTTGAACACGGTTAGCTTTGGTGCAGAATTCTTGCATACTCTGTAATGCGTTGAGATGCATTAATAATTCCAGGTATGTTTTGAAGTCAAAAGCACAACTACAAATCATGATATTTAACTTTAAAATGTTAATTTCTCCATTGTAAAAGAAACAGTGCAATAGGAAAACTCAGCTGCATTAATAGGCTTGACTTTAGCATGTGAGAGATTTGAGTGAAATGAAAAACATATTGGGAAGCACTTGTGTTGTATGTTTTCATTGAAACAATTCTCAAAGGTGTGTTAGAAAAGCTTTTTCCAACAGTAATTCGTTCTTTTTGGAAGTGTACACTGAAACCATACATTCTTATAATATGTATTCTACATGTTGGAACTTCTAAAATGACCAACTTAATGGATCTGAAGTTGGGGATGTTTTTGAAACCATTGTAATTGCTACACTTGTCCGATAAATGTCAGAGACCTGGGATGAGGAAACTTCCACAATGTCCTGAAGAAAATGTAGGGCATCTAGTTTCATAAACCATGGTTTAATTGTTATGTTCTGAGAGCTCTGGGATATTAACAGTGGCAATGTGGGGATGTTGCCATCTCAAAGTAGAGGCATCTTGAAAATTAAGTTGCAGCACCACAGTGCTTTTTAATCAGCAACATACATTTGACTTTAATGTCTTTGTGTTGCTGCTTGCCAAAAGATCAGCTACTTTTTCTCAAAGGTGTACATTAAAGATCAGCAGAAATAATGTTAAAAGTTGATGTAATTTAGTAATATAATACTGTGGGGTTAGCACCTGCATAATCTCTCTTCCCATTTTGATGTAATCTGAAAGTTTATTTAAATAAAACCCCTCTGAATCCATAAGTCAAAACATAACTGAAAGATATCAAAGTATCAAAATATTGAAGTTTTCATGTATTACAGTTTCTTACAGCTGAATAGTTTAGATGTGGAATTTTTAACTAGAGTATTCTTTTCATTTCTATGTAGTTATTCTTCAAAGAGTTGTAATTTTTATTTGGCTTAATTAAACAGTGTTAGATTTTATGGGTTTAACTTTTGTTGTCGTGGCTGTCTCCTTTCTTCTACCAATGCATGCAGTCAACAACAGATACCTCACACATCTGTAAAATGTTTTTCAACTTCTTTTTTAAAGTCAGACTCCCTCTATCAGGTTTCTTTGTTTGAAGTTAAAAACATGGGAAAGGTTTATTTGTGTTCAGCAGAAGTTTTCAAGTTGATAGATGTTTGTAATTGTCCTCCTGTGTTATGTACACAGACCAAATCATAAACGTGCACTGGTTTTTGCATTAAAGAAACAGTTTGATAATTTGTACTTCTGGTATGCAATAAAATTACATGCCCTTGTATCTTGTAAAGTTGAAAAATAGTTGCATTAAATAGTTGTAGAAGGATGAGGCTGAACAGCATACTGGGGTCTGAGAATCATGAGAGGCTGGGAAGTTGCTTTTGTTATCCAGGTGTGGCTTTACGGGAAGGAGGGAAATTCTATCCCTTCCTGGTAAAATCATCTCACCTTACTCTCTGGCTTGTTTAACACTATTCACATTCTCAGTGTGGTAACCACCTCTCCAGATTTTGGGCAGTAGGTAAGTGGTGAACTGCTCTGGAAATAGTAGCACTGTTGGAGGAGAGGAAATCATGTGTGCCAGGGGAAAGGCTGGGTTCTGCTGTACCCACTGTCTGCTGGTGCCTGCCTCTCTACGCATGACCTGATGTACAGGAGGAGAGACGGCATCTGTCCTTGTGTGACAGTCGTCATCTTTGTGTGTTTTTAGGTGAAGATTGGGTCGAGTGGAATGGAAAGGAAGTACTTTTCCTTGTAGCATATGGATAATCCACATAAATTGTGGAATTAGTAGGAGATACTGTGGAAGCAAGAAGTGTAAATGGGGTTTTTTTGAAATCAGTCTAGTTAAACAAAAGACCACTGATGGTAACTAAACACAAATACATAGATGCACCCCCTGTCACTGGATACATTCCTTATGGTTTTTAATGCCTTATTTGCTGTAAATGTAGTCTAATGCAAGTAGACTGCCACAGGATAAACAGATGTTTTGTGAACTAGAACTGAGAGATAAATATGGGTGGAATGGAGTTATGAAACGAGACTGTTGAAATTGCCTGTGAGGTCATTTAGTGCTCTTGTCTGTACAGATGATACCTATTTCTTTGTGACCAGTTCATACTGCAAGGGTCTACTGCTATGTGAAAATAAAAAAAAGAACTCCTTGAGATTTCTGAGAAAATCAGAGTCAACCCTTAGGAACTGTTCTTTCAAAGATGTAGGACATGAAGGAAGTAAGACACCACCAGTAAGAGTACTTGCATTAAAGCTACCTATGTCATCTGTTAATACTTTTTGCAAATCTCCTAGTTGTATAGCCAGGATTGGCTACCAGTTTGTTTACAATTGTCCCTTTCTTCAGGGAACTGAAGAAAGTTGTTTATGATTGTTTAGTATTTCTTCAGGTAGAAAGAAGGCAAGGAGAATTTTTTTAAAAAATACAAGCACACATGATTTACATTTAAGTATAAAACTTATTTTGTGGCCTGATTGATAAATCAGTGGGGATGCTATGTTTTCTGTTGGTAGTCTCATGTAGGTGAAGCTGTTCCATATGCTTCTTGCAGATGTGCAGTGTCACTTTCATGCTTAGGTTTTTCACCTTCTACTCACAGTACTTCATAGAAATGTGCCAATGTTTTCCTACTGAAGAAAAGAGCAGTGAGATTCAGGACTGTTTTCTAGTCTTTCACAGTGTTATTCCTTAGAAGCTGGGAAAATGAATCATGCCATACTTAGTTCTACTACTGTGTCTAGATTCTTTACACTAGCTAAACTAACTTTGACCAATTTTAAATAGATCCTTGCTGTTCTGCAGACTACACTGTGCGTGATTTCATCCCCAGGGAGTGACATTAGCTGCAGTTTGAAATGCATTGGAAGAAAGTTATCAGGAGGATGTCTACCTGTAGAAAGAGAAGAACGTCCAAAAAAAAGACTCCGCAGTACAATTTTTAGACATATGTGTAGCTAAATATGTAGTTGTTGTAACAAAACTGTTGTTTCCATAAACTTAGCTAAAACATCAGTTTTTAACTATGAAAGTAAATTTCTAGGTTCTTATATTACTTGGCATTAGTATATACCACTGTTTTCTTCCTTTGTTTTGAGGGATGCCAGTGTCTCACTTTGAATTCTTGCATGTAAAGAACTTTTTTGATCTTTAAGTATGCTATTTCTGTCTGTTTGTTTCTTCTGGATTGGTTACGAGACTTTACATTTTTATTTGAGCAAGTAAATTGAACTTCTGAAAGTATTTTACAGGCCTGTGCAGATGTCAATTGGCAAGTAACTATCCCAGTAATGTTTTTGTTGTAATCTTGGGCCCAATTATGCTGAGACACACAGCTTTGTAGGGTAGAACAGGAGCAAGATCTGTCCCAGAAGAACTTTCCTTATTGTTCTGTCTTCTTTAATGTCTTTATACTTGGCCATTCTCATACAAGAAACTAGGTTAACCTCTGTCCTTAGATTTCTAGTCAGCTTAACATACACCAGTCCTAACAACAGCACTTCCTTTTGCAAGTTAACACCAAACCATGTAAACTTTAGTGGAAAAGATAGTAGCAATCTTTTCTTTATGGCCCTGTTTTTGGAAAAAACTCATCCTTTTGATGCACAGTTTCCAGAGTTTGGGTTCTCACTGTCATAAGGAGGAAACACTATATGAAATTCCATTATTTAATTTCCAACTCTTCTCAATAACCTAATGAGGAGGAAACTATCACTGTTATCCTCAGAATTTCTTTAAGGTAAGGCAATCCCCAGCTCCCTTTTTATTATTTTGAGTTTATGGTTTTTGAAGCAGTCTTCACTATTTTTCTTGGGGTTATGTGGGGGAGTGAAGATAGGGTTTTTTCCAGCATTAGACTGCTCCTACTTCGAATGTTAACTATGTTGTAAAAGCCTTTAAAAAATATCCCATTATATGTTCTTGTATTTCCAAAATGGTTTTGACAGTCCCTCACAAAAGCTCTTTAAAGTGCCAGTTTGTAATGGGTTAAGAGGAAATGGCCTCTGGAATAACATGAGAATTCAAGTATAAAAATGTGGCAAACCCTTGTTAGGAAGGGGAGTACTGATGATACCACACTCTGGTTTAGCTCTGAGGTTTGCTCCATTCAGCATGGTCATAAGCAACTCTGAAAATAAAATTAATAAAGAGGGAATAAAGGTGGGTTTTAAAACTTAAAACTAAAGGCAGTGGATTTATGGTAGTGAATGCTTGTGTTATTTCTAAATGGCAAGTGATAGTAAGTGTTGATAAAAGAAAAACTGGAGGAAGGAAAACCACAACCTCTGCAATGCTGGACTTCTGATCAGTTAATTTCCAAAGAAATCTTTTTTGGACCTGAATGAGATATACTACTATAGCTCCTTAATAAATTCATTAGGAGAGGTTATTGTCATTTTCTGAAGGGTTAAGAGTTACCTGAGGAGTGGTAGTTTTGCATCTGCAATGCTGAATGCTGTATGCCAGTGTAACCAAATAAATGGGATATCAAATCAAGTCACACAGGCTAGCAGTAGTCACGTGGATTAATTGAAGCTGGAACTGACAAAGATTTCTAGTATCTCTAAGTAAAAATGTTTCTAAGTGGCCGATATGCTATAGTTCGTATATGGGGGTGATCCTACTTAATTTTCAAGGAACTGCATAATTGCATGGTTGATGAAATATCGTAGAGAGCTAATATAAATTAGGTGCTTGTCACTCTTCGTAATTTTCTCCTGTTTATTTTCTGAGATTGAATATCTGCTTGAAAACTTGTTAAAATTCTGGTTTTACAGAAAGTTGTTGAGCTTTTATTTTTCCTGAAACATTTTCACTGCAACCTGTTTCTTGTCAGCAGAGTGAGAGAATGGTTGTTACATTCTTCCGTAAGTAGAACCAGTGTGCTTCTTTTGCATAAATATATGCCTATTTAAAATTATAATTTAATCTTCATCATATGAGGTATGAGATGCATTTATTTTTCTTGATCTATCATTTTTCTTTGTAGAATTTTCCAGAAAAGGATCTTCTACACTGCCATTCTAAAGATGTGATTGAAGCTCATTTTATGGCTTGTATAAAAGAAGCAGATGCTTTAAAGCACAAAAGTCAAGTCATCAATGAAATGCAAAAAAAGGATCATAAGCAATTGTGGATGGGATTACAGAATGGTAAATACAATACATCAAGTATTAATTATATTCAGGTCAAACAAGCTAATAAATAATTTCAGTTATATGAGATATAAAATATCATTGTTCTGCAGAATTTTTGTCTAGTGTCATGGAAAGCATTGATGGTTTGGGGTTTGGGGTTTTTTAAATTAAAAACAAGTAATAATTTTGGTGATAATTTAAATGTGCCTTGAGTTATTCAAGGAATTAGATTGGGTCATGACTCTGTTTTAACAAACCAAGACTAGCAACAAATCAAAATAGAGAAATATTGTCTAGTGTACTTTTGTGTAAGTTATGGTCTTTATTTGGGAGGCACCTGAGGTGTAAGTATTCAGTATCATCTATCTTGGACTGTACATAGGAGATTGTCTCCTCTAGTTAATGCATATGGGTTGTCACTGGTAAACAATACAGGTAAACTGTGAAAAAGGTTGTCCAGTAGATTTAATAATTTTTCTTTTCTCTTTGCCATTTTTAAAAATTGCTTTACAGCTTTCACAAGGACTTCTGCATAAATAAGTGTTGACTTGAAAAAGTCAGCAAAATTACTCAGAACAAGATCTTTAATTAGTGTTCTTACTTTGCACCGACGGTATGAATTAATATTACAGTGCAAAATAAAACTTGTGTTTGTAGTGTCTTCCATATTAAGGTTCACAGAGCCCTGTAAGTTGGAAAGCTTTTGTAAGTATTTCAGAAACTGCTCTCTGGAATGGGTGATCATGCCACTTCCATTGCATTTTTCTCATCTCCTTAAGCTGTCATTTATATTATCCTTAGTAAATTTATTATATGAAAGCATTTTACTGTAAGCATGAAGATGTTTATTCTGTGTTGAGAGACAAAATACTGAACACTTAGAATTAACATCTTCCTATATATGTATAAGAAAAATTAAATGAAAAAGAAGAACCTTAGAATGCAACAAGACTTGAACCATACTTTTGGTTTAGACAAGAAGGTTCCAAGTTAGTTTTGGTTTAATGTGTGTATTTAGTGAGTGTGTGACATTTTTTTATAGTGTTGTTTAGTGGTACTGCCTTCCATATGAAAGGTACTCCAGTGATGTTTTGAAGAGAAACTCTGCTTTCTCTTTTTTATTTAATTGGAAGAGAGTTAGAAATTGAGGCATTATCTTAATTTGCCATGTGAGTGGTAAGATCTTGAGGAAGGCTGTGCATACCTGCAAAATGAAACAGTAGTTAACTTTAACAGTTAAGTTAGTTCTTTTAATGAGAAGTTACAGAATCTTGATAATCTCAATATTTAAGATAACAGGACAGATACATAGCGTGGGTTTTTTTGATGCTCATCTTAGGCTTTATCTTTCAGTTGATTATTTGTCTAAGAATATTTTCTGCTTGTAGGGAAAGCAGAATTTTTCTGTTTTGCTCTATAATGTTAACAACAGAGGTTGCTTAGCAAAGTTGATTTCAAAGTTTCACTGTACTTAATGAGAAATTGCACCTGTGGAATCTGACACCTGAATGAGAAGTTTAAGCAATCTTTTGAATACTTTCAAATGCTAATTTTAATTTCTCAACTCTTCATAAAAGAGAAACAAGAAAAGCTTGTGAAACCAAGAAAACTCTTTTTAAGCATGTTGTATCTTTCAATATGTTTTTATAGGCTTTCGTTTGAGATGTAATAATTTTAAACCACTTTGTGAAACAGAATGAATGACCACAAAAAAGAAAAGAAAGTAGCATTTGTGATAACTGCTTTGTAAGTAAAGATACATCTGTAGACTGTTTTTTCTGTGCAACTTCAAACAATTTTCTTCAGTTCTTAATTATAGGAAGTGTTATTTTTTTAAAGAGCGATAGCATTAATTAGAAGACATGTCCTGAATTTACATTTTTGAAAAAAAGCCTGTCCAGTTTTGTTTCGAAAAATATAACTATCAAGTAATTTGTAATTTGGTATAAATGTTTCTGCTGAGAAGCAGCTACTTGAACAGGTAACATGTGAAACTTACCAGTTGCTTGTAGATGGCTTTTAAGAGAAGAGCTGTAATAGTGAATTTGTGGGAATCTTGTGCTGGTAACAGCTGGTGGTTATTCATATTAACCTTTGCATCCCTCCTCCCACCATTTCTGGTTTTATGTTAATCTGATACCAAATCAGGAAGGAAAACATATTATTCTATTTTGTGGTGTGGTTTTTTTTGTTCTTCACGGTCAATTTTTGATTGATAAACCAGATATTTCTGAGTTAGAACTCTTCTTTGGGACAGGTACATTTTTTGACCAGCCATAGATGTCTGTCTGTGGTAGGGAAGTGATAAAAACAGACTATGCAGCTATGCTGACCTTTGTTCCTTTGTATGAATTGTTAAAATTCTTTGGTCAGAATTCATGGAAAATGTTACTATTGTTTTTGCTTTAGTAGTGTTATGGCCATTTTTATCATGGATGAAAAGGATTTTCAAGTGGGTGGGTTTTTTTTCTTCTTGACTTTTGTGTGGAAAAATAAAGGCTTTCAGCTTTGAAACTCTAAGACTATATGGGCCTACTGATGACTCAGGATCAAACAAATGAAATCCCCACTGTTTCCAGAGAGAGAGCTGTATTTTTTGCATGGTTCAAAGAATTAATATCTATAACTTCAGTATATAATGGTTCTGATAAATGAAGGGATTTAGATTCAGCACATCTGATTTTTATCAGTTGTGGACTAGCAGAAGCAACTGTACCCTTAAATTTTCACAGGCATCATTTATAACCAATGAAGACTAGACTTGGTATTTCTGATACATGAGTGGGAGAAATAAACAGTAAAAACTCATAACTACTTTAAGGTTTCTTTTATATATTATAAAATATAATGAAGTCATTATTTTAGGGAAAATATTATGGAAAAAGAATGCAATGCTCATTCATGCTTGTAGGGCTTACCAAAAGTTAAGTGACCGTATTGAATTGTTCTTACTAGAGGAGAAAAATCCTGCAAGCTTTCAGAATATACAATATTTTATTTTTTAATGCATCTGATCTCTATCTTGCCTTACTGACAGAATCAGGCTTGTGTTGTCTTATGTTTAGTTACAAAATTTATCTAAACTATTCTTGGGTTTTTGAGAGGCAGAAGTTGTGTTTGTTCTCAGTTATCACATTTCTGTTTAGAAATGTTCAAATTGCAAAAAAGGAAGTGTGTTAGAGCTTTTCTTGTGCTGTCTACACTTGACCCACTCAGGTTTGATGGGCCTATTTCCCCTCTTCATAGGTGGAAGCAATGCTGTCCTTTACCTCATGGTGAGCATGCTTTAGGTAGCTGAACAAAACCTCTATGATCTCAACTCACCATTTCAAATTTCCTTAGAAAATCTTCTGGAGTTTCTCAGGAGAATGAATAAAAAAGCTGCTAATTTTGAAATCACAAAGCTACCTTGTTTACTTCTTCCCCATATTGCTACCAAAATGGGGAATTTTTTCCATGTTCACTCTGTGGAGATTTGGTTAACTGTGAAGAAAGATTAAATAATTAATTTGAACTTTGAAATGAGTGTATTGGTTAAAAGTGATTTAAAAACCCCAATCGTTACCTTCCTGGACTTTCTTAGTTAAAAATTTTCCAAAATTCATCAAGTTGCCTTATAATGAGCATCATTACCTGTTTATTCTGGAGTTAAGCTAGCATGGCACACATCAAACACTGGTGTGGCTGATACCATGGAACTGATGGAATGTGATTTAGACCGGTTCAGATAGCCCTGCAGAAAGTCTCCCAGTGCTGCTTTGGTGTTGAGCAGGGTCTGGCTTTGAGCAGACTAGATCTGCAGAATGAATCAGCTGCATCAGAGCAGGCCTTCCTGGGGATGTTTTTGGGGTTTTTTTTCCATAGCAATAGGTTTTGTTTGGGGTTTGGTTAGTTGTGGTGGTTTTTCTGGTAATGGATTGTGACCTAGACCTCACTGTTAGTTCTGCAGTGTTTATGGGACTGTTACCCTTTCTACACAAATGACTAAGCCAATAGTCCACTCATATGGATGTAGTATTGTGATTCTTAACTGCCATCCCCCTGAAACTGCTTTTGGCTTTGTTACTCCTCTGTGCTGGCCTGGTGTCCACTTGAATAGCTGCCCTTTACTGTGAGACAAAGAGGGGGAATTGATGGCAGCCTGCATTCCCTGCTTGGCTTTCTCTTCTCTGCTCTCAAACAGGAGGGCAGGGCAGGTCTGCTCTGTCTGAGGCCAGTGAGAACCAGTGGGTCTCAAAGGAGGGCAAGAACTATATGAAGGCAGAGAAGGAAGGAAAGCAAAAGATAACACAATCCTACTGAAGTCTGCCACGAGAGGAGGTTGCTTAGAGATGGAAGTAGAGAGAGTGTTTCTAGCATTTTCACCCTCTTATGTTAGATGATCATGTGCCTAATAAAAACTATTATACTCTGAAGGCACAAACTTCGAGGTCTCTTTTTGCTGTCTTCTGCTTTTCTTTCTCCCCTCGCTCTCAAAATAAGTCATTTCCTGAAAAATGTGTATGATCTAACTAAAATTTAGAGTAAACTGTCTCTAAAAAACGGACTTCACTTTTAAATTTAACTTTCTTTAGTTGAGGGTTTCTTGTTTTGCAATTTGAAATTCTTCTAACTTACTTTCTGCTTGTAAACTCCTGAATCTATTAATATGAATTAATATAAAGGTTCCTTAACTTTTAAGAAAAGCTTTATTTTAGAAAAAAGCATAGTACAGGTGAAGCAAAGTGAGTTAGAAAGTTACATGGTGTTATGCTACTCTGTTTTCATGTATATATAGAGAGCATAATTAGACATGAAGAAATCAAAATTCTAAGGCTCTCCTAGATATGGAGCAGAGAGCTGGAGGATGGATAAAATTGCCAGGAGTCCTTTTCCCTTTGACTTACTCAGGAAATTCTGTAACAAGCTCTGCTCCTTAATTCCTATACAACCTTTGGGTTATGCATTTCAGAAATGGATAATCCTTTTGTGTCATCAGAGCTTTCTTTTTAGTTGAACTGACAGTACTTCTGAGA